TAAATCAATAAAAAAAGTTAAAAAAAAAAGAAACTAGTGAATATAACAGAAAAGAGACTCACAAATATGGAGAAGGAATTAGTGATTATCAGTGGGGAGAGGGTGGGGGAGGGGCAAGATGAAAGGGGAGGATTAAGAGGTGCAAACTATCAGGTATAAAATAAGCTACAAGGATGTGCTGTACAACATGGGGAATACAGCCCATATTTTATAATAACAATAAATGGAGTATAACCTTTAAAAATTGTGAATCACTATATTGTATACATGTGACATATAATATTGTACTTCAACTATACTTCAATTTTAAAAATATGATACTGTAGAATAAATACATAAATGAAGTTAATAAAAAATAAAAATAAATTTAAAAAAGAAGAGATACAGATGCTAGAAAGCCAAGCACAAGAAATGTCCATTGTATTCAACTTTTGCATTTCCTGCTGGGAGGAAGAATTTCCAAACTACCGTGTCACATTACCCATGAATATTTCCTGGATAGGAGAAATATATGAAGATCCTTGAGATCCCTTAGAAAGGTTAGTGCCAAGGAACTTGACAAGTGTCTTATTTCTACTTTTCTATCCCTCCGAACAGTAATCACTACCTTATAGAGTTTCTTGAGGTTGGAGGTGTCCTAACACTCTTGGAAATACTTGCATTGGAGAAGATCAAGGAGGAGGGCAAGAAGGAGTCCATCAGGCTACTTCAGGTTATTGCAAACTCCGGCAGGAAGTACAAGGAGCTCATCTGTGAAAGCTACGGTGGGTACCGTAGATGGCAAGGGTGTCAATTCCCACATCTCCCTCCAGGCCTGGGTGAAAGGGGGGCTGCACCCAGCACTGCTGTAGGGAAACGCGTTGTGGAACTGGTTGCACCGGAAGCATTTTGTAGAGTGGGCTTAATTAGCTCCTGTCTGACTCACCACCAGCAGACCCAGATTTATGATTTTCCTGATTCATCATTTGCTCAAATCTTTCCATGGTGGTTTTGGAAATACCTGTTCATTTTAAATATATCCTCTTTCATGCATCCATTCAAGAAAAATTTATTGAGCCATTGGTGAATAACTCTAGAACTGAAATTGAAGTAAAATCATTGACTATGTGGTCTAGGTGTACGCTACGGTCCTGGGAATACAAAGATGAATAAAATACAATCCTTGTCCTCAAAGAGCTTACAGTGTGGTGAGAAAAGTAAATAATCCAGTAATTTCAGTATGTCCTATCAAGGGCTCCGATGGAGGCATGTACAGGAGATGCCATCCCCCACACATCCTCTTTGAAGCCCCTCCCTCACTGCTTTTTCATCATGGTTCTTCTATCTGTCTCCTCCTTGGCCTCTCTGAGCCTCAGTGTATTTATCCATAAAATGGGACTAACACCTCCCTCTCAGTGTAGTTTCCAGGACTAAAGGAGGTAGTATTTGTCAAAACATATAGTGCTAAGTGCTATCCATGTATTATCATACAGCAATCAAAAATGCGTGTTCACTGAAAAGAATCTGAAAAAACACATATGTCTAACTGAATCACTTTGCTATACACCTGAAACAGAATATTGTAAATCAACTACTCTTCAATTTTTTTAAATGCTTGTTTGTGCATTTGGCAGAGCCACTTTGAATTTTAAAACAGATTTTGACAAACTGACATGCCTATGTTGAAACAAAATCCTCCGGCCACACAGCCACGAGGCGGAAAAGACCGCAAGGCAGCATGAGACCAAAGCCTCGCTTTTGCTTTGAATGGGCTTGGTTCAATACATCTTAATCCTATGACCTCATATTACGTAACCTTGAATAAGGACTGGTTCACAATTCCCTTCCAGCTTAGCATTTCCTCTCTCCTCTGCTCAGGTGTACGATCCATAGCAGAATTTTTGGCAAAGTCTAAGTCAGAAGAGACCCAAGAAGAAGTGCAGGTTCTGCTGGATTCTCTGGTCCACGGCAATCCCAAGTACCAGAATCAAGTGTACAAAGGTCTAATAGCGTTGCTGCCCTGTGCATCCCCGAAAGCTCAGCAGCTGTCCCTGCAGACTCTCAGGACTGCCCAGGTGAGCCCGGGCTGCATGCTCCTGTGCGGCTGATCCCAGAGCGGTAATCTGACAATTACCTTCCGCAGTCACACTGCACGCAGGCATGAGAAACAGGGCTCTGCTCCCACTGCACGTCTGCTGTTCAATCAGCGTTAACTTCCAGAAGGCCAAGGCAGGGCAGAGTTCACATCTCCCAGCAGAGTGATTTGTCCTGTTTACTTAAGGATCAGAAAGATGCTGGCAGATTTAAAAGTGGTTGAGACAAGCAACAAGGATGATGAAAGGACTGTAGGAAAGATGAAAGGAGTCAATTTGATAGGGAAAGAATCATGGGGCATTTGTGGACAGCATGTAAAGTGAAGAAGCCAGATCTCCAATGCTTGGGAAAGCTCCGTTTCTCTCACTGGCTTCTGCCTTCCTCTCGGAGCCCTAGACTGCGGCAAAGACAGCTTCGAGGCGTGGTGTCCACACAAAGACACTATGCCTAGTCAGGAGGGAATAGAGGCTCCAAGAGTGGTTTTGAGATGAACCATCAAAAGCTCTCAAAACAGCTCAGGGACAATAAAAAACAATTAAAAGATCAAAGAGATGATACAGCCTGAACAGTGGGAATCGAGGTGACCAGGTGACAGACATTTCGGAGGCAAAGTGCATGGGACTTGGGGCAGTAAAAGAAAAGGAGTCAAGAAGACACCCAGCTTTGGACTCAGGCAACGGAGTGAGTTGTGTGCCACGTGAGAGAGCAGGAGCAATGATCTGACTTGGGAGGAGTTAGGTTTTGACCCAGTACACCTGGATCTCAGTGGCTCCCAAGTGCCCATCAGAGGAACAGGCCAAGCTGGTTGCGGAATATGGAGACGGATCACTTGTGCAAAAAATGCTGAATCCTGAACTCTCCCTTCTATAGAATCTGACCGCCTTCAAGTGGCCATTAAGCTCCCCAGGCAGTTCTGATTCCTAGCCTGATTGAGGAATCACTGCTCAGGACCCCTTGAAGAGATGCCCACTGGACAATAGACAGTAAGTCTGAGGCTCCAGAGAGAGACCCCAGGTGAAGATGGCAGTTTGGATTTCATGAGCAGAGAAGTAATATCCTAAACAGTGAGAGTAAATAAGATCACCCAGGTAGAATGTACCAAGGAAGTTGAGAAGAACACTGCCAGTATCTAAGAGGTGAGCTGAAAAAGAAGGGCAGCAAAGCAGATCTGATTATCATCATTATTTCCAGTTTCCACTTACTAAGTGCCTCCTACTTGCCAGGCACTGTGCTGGGGGCGTGCTTACACTATCTCTCTTAGTCTTCACAATGGCTGGTGGAGGCATGTGCTATCAACCCATTTTAAACATAATGGGGAGGGTATAGCTCAGCGGTACAGCACATGCTTAGCACGCACAAGGTCCTGGGTTCAATCCCCAGTACCTCCATTAAAAAATACATTAAAAACCCCTAATGACCTCCCTCCCCCCCAAAAAAAATAATAAAAATAAAAATAAATGAAGATGGTGGAACTGAGCCTTAGGAAGGTGTCTGGTGACTTATTCAAGGCCACACACCAAGCAGAAGATATTTACTAGGCACACTGAACTCCACCTCTAAGTCCAGAGTCCTTACTCTTTCCATATTCCACCGTTCTGCCTCTTTGAAAATGAATGATGAAAGACAGAAAAGGAGAACAGGAAAGAACAGGACCATGAAAATGAAGGGAAAAGAGTTTCAGCACGGAGGGCATGATCAGCTGGGTCAAACACAGCAGAGAGATTGAGGATGGATAGAACAGAAAGCTGGGCCCAGTGGGAAAAGTTTTGGTGAATTAGGGGACTGTTCTATGGCAGACCATCAAAGGATGCACAGAGGATGAAGACAGGGCTTCCCCCGGGAGGCTTAGGTGTAAAGGGGGAAAAGTAGTAGCCAGAGAAGACGAAATTGAAGGACAACTGTGTTCAACCTGGGTGAGCGTGAGGACGTCGAATGCTGAAGGACAGGAGCCAGTGCTCGGGTGGAGGCAGAAGATGCAGACAGGGGGCTTTGCCTGATTGGGTGAGGTCCTGTGAGAGAGAAGATTCAGGCTCTTGGATGAGTTTCACTCTCCCCAGCCTGTGCCCATCCAACCCCCAGCCAAGATAACCAACCTGTTGTACCCACCTCTAGCAGTGGCCGCCTGGCCTTGACTGAGCGCTTCCTGAGCCAGAAGGTTCAGTGGCAACCTCAGCAGATCCTCAGTCTGGTTCCTGGCTGCCCCTGCCCCTCCACCCCTCCTCTCCAGAAGAAATTTACCTCTGGGTTTGGGGGCCAAGGCTCAGGGACTCACCACTGCCCTCCCTCTCCCCATTCAGCTTTTCACTTGTCCTAGGTGAACTAAACCAAAAGAGTAACCACCTTGTCCCTTTTGTCTGTCTTGCCAGTCGATCGTCAGGACCACACACCCCAGCATCGTGGACAACGTGCTCAAGGTGCTGAGCACCATGCACCTGGAAGTCCAGTATGAAGGTAGGGGAGAAAGCCGGGACTGCTCCAGATCACAGAAGGTGGCGATGAGAATTGGGCAGATTCACTCGGAAACATTTTCTTTTACTCACAAAGAGCCTTGTGGAGTGTTCTGGATGTAGATAGCCTCGGCAGATGGAAGGTGTTGGCTCAGTATTGATGGGCAAGTTACTCAGAAAATGACAGTCATGTTCTGTGCCTGGAATCAGCCACATGGTGCTCTCACAGTTGTTAGAGTCTGCCTGGGTCCAGAGCTGGCTCTGGTTCTCAGTCCTATGTGGTGATTTCCCTCCAGACAGAAATCACCCTGAGGACTGTTCTTCTTAGAAACTAGATTGGACAATGGTAGCATGAATCAGTTTTCATTTACAAGTACACCTGTGTGCCAGCCACTTTCCATGCATCATTCCATTTAATTTCCAAAAAACCCACAAGACTACAGATTCTGGCACATATTAGCTATTCAAATGTTCAAATGAATGAATGCTGGGGATCAGCATTTTTGTGTTTTTCAGGCTACAGCACTGAAGCACCAACAGATTAAGTGTGCTTCCCACGGCTACACAGCTAACTAAACTCAAACCAGAGCTGTCTGACTCCAGAGCCTGTGCTTTTAACATGCAGCACGTGGCAGGTGCTTCCAGGATGTTACATCCTTCCCTGCTCCTACGGTGATTCAGAGATGGGAGAACCTGTTTGCAACAGGAAAGATCAAGGAAGGGTTTGCTGAGGAGGTGGTGTTTGAGCTGAGCCTTGGAGAATGGGAAGGACTTGGGAAGGTAGAAAGTGGAGGAAGGCATTCTGGAGAGGGAGATGGTATAAATGAAGACCCAGACATAGGGAAGTACAAGATGTGTCTGGAGAATCACAGGGAGATCATTTGGTGGAGGTTTGGTAGAGGTCTCCATCCAGGAAGACCTAGAAAGGTAGGCTAGGACCAGATGGCAGAGCACCCTGAACGCCAGATGGAGTGGTGGGCACTCCTTCCAGTAGGCGGTGTGGGGCCATTGGAAAGTGACCCAGGAACAGGCGAATGGGAAAAGGAAAGCCCCGCCTCTGGAAGACTGCCCCGGGACTAGGGTGCTGGGCGGGCCAGAGCCACAGGGAGGCTTGAGGCCGGAGGCCAGCTGGGAGGCCCTTAGGGTTGTTCAGACAACAGAATGGAATGTGCTGATCCAGCTGGATAGAGAGGCCCCAGAAAGAGAGAAAAGGGACGGGACTAGGAACCCCCTGGGTGTGGAGAGTGGGATGGCACATGGCAGGGTGCACAGGCCCACCGAGGAGGCCAGAGCAGAGAGGCCCAGCAAGCAAGATGGGTCTGGGTGTCACTACATATGGTGACTCCTGTGTCCCGGATTGCAGGCTGAGCTCCAGGTCCAGGAAGCCTGGGAGAGGCCAAAGGAGGAGGCAGGTACAGGGTTAAGGTACACAAGCGAGATTCTGAGGAAGATCACCAAGGGCCTGGAGGCTCACTCCCAGTCTGGATTGTTTTTTTGAAGGCAGTGTTGAAATTGAAAGCCAGCCTTATCTTTCCTTATCTTTCCTGTCAACTTTGTATTTGTTTGACCCCTGCAGGGGGTACGTGGCCAGCCATGTTGAGAAGTTGTTGGAATTGATTTCCAGTGGGAACAATGCCTCCTAGCTGGGGAGGAGTCGCCTGTGAGGGGATGGAGTGTTGGAGGCACCTAAGTCAAGGTCAGGCCCAGCTGCCGAGTTGTTACTGGCATTGGAGTAGGGGGTGACCTGGTGGTGGAATCATGTCAGAGACTTAAACAAACAACCCAGAGGAGACTGGATTGGATGGCGCCGAGACCTCCAGCCCCTCGCCCCACCTCCACGTGACAAAGTGAGCATTCCTTCTCATCGTCACACCTCAGTGTCAGCATTTCTTCTCTAAGTCCATCCCCGACCTGACTTCAACCCTTGCCCAAATACCAGCCTCCTTCCCTTGGTACCTCCTCCTGCGCCCTTCTCCCCTCCAGTAGCTCCTTCCACTGGAGCCATCATCTCCAGCATAGTAACCTCCCTGCATGCAGACTGTGCACAGTTAGGGTGCAGCTCTCATAGTTTTGTAACTTGTGTCCCCAGCACAGTGCCCAGCATGGGTTAAGTCCCCGGTACGTGTTTGTTGAGTGAGGGAGGGAGGGATGGAAGGAGTGAGGACCGCACATACATGCTGTATTAGTGACCACTTGCCTAAATGCCTTTCCCTCTGAGCAGCTCCAGGGCAGCAACTGGGTCTGTCTGATTCATCTTTTTGCAGTTCAGGGCGTGGCATATAAAGGGCAGTGCTCAGTAGAAGGTTGTTGAAGAGATTTATGAAAAAATGCCTCAGCCTCAGTTTTGCTGATGAACCCTTCCAGAGTTGAACGGGCTCAGCGTCCTCCCACATCGGGTCCAATCCCCTCTGCGTTTTACATAACAACCAGCACTGGCAGAGGCGGCAGGAGCATGAAGCTTTGTCTCTTCCTTTTTGGCTTAATGTCTCTGGTGTGATAACCGTGAAACTGTGCACCTTAAAGTCATTTCAGATATGCCAGATTCATAACAGGTGTTCAGGAAATGTCTGTTGAATGAAAGAAATTCGTTCTTACCAGGCGCTTCAAAATAGTCTCCGTGTGACTGGGAATATAGAGCATGCATATGCAGCGATCGTCCACTAGGGGAGACTATTTCACACGATCGGTGGAGTGAAAGTGAAGGGCGGGAATACGGGGCTCAGTTTCCACTGAATCTGCTCCAAAGGCGGGGGAGGGAAGGTCTCACAGCTCTTAGATGTCCTAATGGGGGTGACCGGAGAGAATTAGAGATGAATTTCTCTGAGTCTGAGGACACCAAATTGCAAGACCAAAGTGAAGCCCCCAACCCCCAGGACGATGGCAACAGTCAGGGGCAGCGGGTGATATAACGGAAGGGACTGATTCTACAGGCGGAGTTGGTTTGTTTTTTTAAAAACAAATACTGATTGAACAGCTGTGGTGTGCCAAGTACTATGCCTAGTCCTGGAGTTTTGTCTGTGTTTGCGTTTGAAGAGAAAAAGGAATGGTTTGGAAGGAGGAAGGTACGGAGGCTGTGCCCTCTACCCCTCAGGCTGCGTGTGTGTGGTGGTGGTGCTGGTGGGGGTGGGCTGTTGTCCTTCCCCTGAGAAGGATGCAGGGAAAGTGCGACCTTCAGGGGGAGTCTGGGGGAAATAGGCGGCAGAGAGTCTCGGCAGCCCTGGCGACCCTTCCCCTTGCAGTGGGGCTTGTGGTTGGAGGAGCCAGGAGACGACCCCACCTCCTTTTTTATGGAGAACTCCTTCCTACCTCCAAATGCCACCCTGCCCGACGTCACCCACGTCCTCTGCCCTCTTTCCCATTACAGCGCAGTGTCCCTGCTCCTGGCACAACCACCTCCTCTACTTCTGCTTATCCTCCGAAGTTCGCTCCCGCAGACCTCCCGCTCCCTCCTTCTCTGGTGATTCATCTCCGCTGACATGCAAATATGCTCCATATCTCCCAGCTTCAAAAAGAGCCCCTCTTTGGTCATGTTATGGATTAAAAGAGATTTAAAAGACTGTCCCCCTCAAAAAACGTAAAAGTAAATTACAGTGTTTAGGCATGCACAGCCCTCCTTGACCCCAAGTTCCCCTCCAGCACCACATTTTCCCACTTTCTCCCTACGTGATCTCTCAGCTGCTTTTGACCCAGTTGGTCAAAAAGCAACTCGCTCTCTTCTCTTGCTTCTGTGACACCGCTTCTGGTGTTCCTCCTACCGGCTGGTGTTGCCGTGCCTCCTTTACTGGTTTCTCTTATTTCTCCACCACACTGTGGAGTCAGCCTATGTCCTGTCTCCTTATCACCTTCTCCCTGGGTGATTTCGTCTAGCCGCATTGCTTCCCATTCCACATGTGTGTCACAGATTCAGCTGCCAAGTCTGTTTCTCTAGTCTTGCTATTTCCATAAATGTCTAATAGGCACCTGAAATTTCTAGCTGAAAACAGACTATTTGATTTTCTTTCCGAAACGTGTTCTTTCTCCTATTTTCAGTAAAAGGTACCACCGCCAACTCAATTGCTCAAGTAAAAAGCGTAAGACTGATACCAGACGACCTGCTTTCTCTCACCTCCCACCCCATCCCATCCTTACCAAGTCCTCTAGGCTCTACCCTCACTGTGACCACCCTAAACTAATCCACCCTCCTGTCCTGTCTCCTAATTTATCTTTCCGCTTCTACTCTGGGTCCCTGTAATCCACTCTCCCATGGCAGCTAGAATGATCATTTTTGAAATACAAACTAGACGTCACTCCTTAGCTTCCCAGTGCACCTAGACTGAAATCTAAACACCTGCTATGGCCTGCTTCTAGAAGGTGCTTCCCCCAGACCTCGGGTTGATGGTTAACTTCTCAAATTTCAAGTGTCAGCTCAGACATCACCTCTGAGAGAGGCCTTCCAACCACTCTCTATAAAGCTTCCCTGTCCCTCCCACCACCCTCCCAGGTCTCCCACCATCACATCACATCATGACACTTACCTCCTTCGGAAATTACCTTATTTATTTGTTTATTGTCTGTCCTCTGTTAGAAAGTCAGCTCCAGGAGAGCTGAGAAGTCATCTTCTTTGTTCGCCATTGTATCCCTAATGCCTAAAGAACACTGGCAAAAGGAGGCTCTTAAATATTTGTTGAATGAATAAATTGGGATGACTGAATTATATGTACCCTAATTTGTACTGACAGTCATCATATTGGGAATAAAATTTAAAATATCATGTTTTACGGGGGTGGGGGTGGTATAGCTTGTGTGAGGTCTTGGGTTCAACCCCCAGTACTTCCATTAAAAAAAAAATCTAAAAAAATCCCTACAAACCTAGTTTTTCAGCCCAGATGGCCAAGTGGAGGCTGTGTGTCTTAAATGACTGTTTATTTCCTGAGTGTTCTTAGGGCCAAGGCAGAGGGTTCAGAGGAGGAGGGAAAAGAGAAGCAAAGTAGGAGATGGTAAAGCCTCTCGAGCAGAGGGTGGGCG